AGTACCTGATAATGAGGGAGGGAGGTGAGAGAGACAGAGAGTGATTTATTCTTTACTTTAATACACACACACATGTATTAGTAACGTGGTAGCGTTACTAAGTAGGATTCACCCCCAAACAAAATGGCTGCCACGACTTTTGCAGCCTTGCTATACCCGGAAAACGAGCTCCTGTGCTTACCAGACTTTATAGAGGACCTCATCTTGACCAGAGGACTCCAAATGTACCACTAGTGTGGCTCTAGACCTTGTCTAAGAGGAAAACCAAAAATCGGCGAACCGCCCGTTTTGTTCAGCCACCTTTTTTCATCTTCATCATCATCATCATCATCATCAAGTCCTGTCAATCCAGTTGGCGAGGTGTATTTTTATATTGGCTGGCACTACAAGACTAATTCTTACACCATTCTACTCCAAATGGCTATGCGCGGATCCATGTCCCATCAGATCATTCTTCAAGAAAGGAGAAAGTGATGCCATGACTGCTGGATCGTACCATCTTAGGTGGACGCCGCCATCTTGTTATTAATTAAAGAAGCATGTGCTCTAAAATTTGGGTGTGGTTGTGCATGCTCAGATCTGCAGCTCTGGAAGAAGCAAGTTATTTTTTTACCTAGCTATGCTTGGAATCAACTGCAATACTTTAGTGGAGGTTTCCAGCTTAGAGAAGGTATTAATCTTGCATGTTATCATTTTTATTTTATTTTAAAAAACAAACAATTAATTAATGTTATGATATGCAATGATAATATGAACTTGACAACAGCCTGGAAGAACAGGAATCACAGTAGGCAAATAGCTACAACCTTGCAGGAAAGATGGACACTCTCAGCTCCTCAGCTTCTTGAACAAGGACTTGTTGTCAAGACTAGTATTAATTTCACCTTTCATCAGTTTATTTCAGCATATCTATTCAATGCAGTCCAGCTCTCATAAATGATGTAAAGTCATAAGTCATAACAATGATAATAATAATAGTAAAGAAAATTATTGTTTGTGTAAAATCAAGAAGTATAACAATTGCAACTAAAGAAATAATTATAATAATTATTATTTTCTATTCAATGCAGTCCGGCTCTCATAAAAGATGTAAAGTCATAACAGTAATAATAATAATAATAGTAAAGAAATTATTGTTTGTGTAAAATCAACAAGTATCACAATTGCAACTAAAGAAATAATTATAATAATTATTATTATAAAAAAATCAACACAAACAAGAACATAAAAAATTTAAAAAAAACAAGGTTAAGTAGGATTCTAGAGCAAAGTCATAAAAAATAATCGAAACAAGGACAGGTAGGATTCCGAACGACCAACGAAAATACAAAATGAAAATCCTACTCGTGACGCAAATTCTACTCTACATTGCAAGGTGATTTGTAATTCATACATGATAACATCAAAAGTACAATGTAGAGTAGAATTTGCGTCACGAGTAGGATTTTCATTTTGTATTTTCGTTGGTCGTTCGGAATCCTACCTGTCCTTGTTTCGATTATTTTTTACGACTTTGCTCTAGAATCCTACTAAACCTTGTTTTTTTTAAATTTTTTATGTTTATGTACATGTATTCATATTATTTCACCTTTTTCTGTACAATAGTTCTCTAAGTGGTGATAGTCCTACTGCTCCTGCGGGTAGTACATTCACGACATCAAGAGGTGTCCATTTTTCTGGTCCAGTAGGAGGAGGAGACGAGGGAGAGAAGTCTCCTCATGGTATGCCTTGCGTTAGGGATGTTCTGAGGTTTTTCATTTCCATTATCAATCCTAAAGACAGGTGAGCCTGTTACTCTATGTACTGGAAAATCTATAAAAAGCATTACTTGTTCTTTTTCAAAAGTTTTGACAGCTTGAATGAAACAGTATTGATGTACTTGAACCTGTGTGCCCATTGATCTCTTATTTAGTCATACATGTATAATCTTCTTTCTTTTCTCTCTCTTCCTTTCCTCCATAAAGGAATGACACACGAGTGATATGCATTGGATTGGATTTTGTGACTGTTATGTTGGAGTGTGGCGGGAAGAGTCTTGTAGACATTAAATCACTGAGAGTTCTCATGCAAGACGGACTCTGCCATCACTTACTTGCTGTAAATGAGCAACTTTACGAAACACGTATTTCATTGTATTTTGTTAGTTGCTTAAGCACGAATCTATTGATGTTTTTGGTCGCTCTTTGAGAAAGTGTTTTCTTTTTAATCAAATCATCATCTCAAACTACAACTGGAGGTAAAGAAAGAAACACATACATGTACATGTACACATGTATGTTATTATTATTATTATTATGACAGTGAGAAAAAAATAGTATTATTGTTATTATTATTATTATTATTATTATTATTATTATCATTATTATTATTAATTATTATTATTATTGTTGTTATGAGAGTGAGAAAGCATTATTATTATTATTATTATTATTATTATTGTTGTTGTTATTGTTGTTGTTGTTGTTGTTGTTGTTATTATTATTATTGTTATTATTATTATGAGAGTGAGAATTATTCATTATTATTATTATTATTATTATTATTATGCGAGTGAGAAAAGATTATTATTATTATTATCACTATTATTATTGTTGTTATTACATGTATTAATATGAGAGGGAGAAAGGAATATTATTATTATTATTATTATTATTATTATTATAAATTATCATTATTAATTATTATTATTATTATTATTATTATTATTATTATTATTATTATTGTTATTATTATTATGAGAGGCAGAAAGGAATATTATTATTATTATTATTATTATTATTATTATTATTATTATTATTATTAATTATTATTATTATTATTAACTATTATTATTATTATTATTATTATTATTATTATTGTTACCATTATCACTAGTTACTGTTACCATTATTATCATTATTATTAGTTATTGTTACTATTGTTATCATGACAAAATATTATTATTATTATTATTATTGTTATTGTTATTATTATTATTATGAGAGTGAGAAAGGATTATTATTTTTAAATATTATTATTATTGTTATTATTATTTTTATTATTATCACTATTATTATTATTATGAGAGGGAGAAAGGAATATTATTATTATTATTATTATCATTATTATTATTATTATTATTATTATTTTTGTCCTTGTTGTTGTTGTTGTTGTTTTGTTTTTGTTGTTGTTTTGTTGTTGTTGTTGTTTTGTTGTCGTTGTGGTTGTTTTCATTATTATTGTTATTGTTATTATTATTATGAGAGGGAGAAAGGAATATTATTATTATTATTATTATTATTATTATTGTTATTGTTGTTGTTGTTGTTGTTATTATTATGAAAATGAGAAAGGAATATTATTATTATTATTATTATTATTATTGGTGACCATACATGTAATTGACAAAAGGGACCTTATGGTGGATAGTAAAATTTGTCTTTAGAGCCAAAAATATCCAACTTCCTGAGCTGCTTTTCTCATAAAAATACTCCAGAGGATGCAAAAAGTTACTTTGTAACTTCAAAAAACAATTCTTGTCTAACAGAACACTCAAAGGTTGAGATTTTTCATTATAATGATGAATTTTAAAATCCGCCATAAGGGCCCTTTTGTCAATTATGGTCACAATTTGTTATAATTATTTTTATTATTATCACAATTATTATTATTGTTGTTGTTGTTGCTGTTGCTGCTGCTTGCTGCTGTTGCTGCTGCTGTTTTGTTGACGTTGTTGTTGTTGTTGTCATAATTATTGTTATTATTAAGAGAGTGAGAATTGTTCGTTATTATTATTATTGTTATTATTATTATGCGAGTTAGAAAGGATTATTATTATTTTATCACAATTATTATTATTGTTATTATTATTATGAAAGGGTGAAAGAAATATTATTATTATTATTATTATATTATTATTATTATTATTATTATTATTATTGTTA